CAGGGAGGGGAGAGACTCAGTCTGTAATGTTGGTGGAGTCCTGGTTCACCCGCTTTGCCCTCAGGAAGTAGATGGGAAATACCTGGCTCTCTCTGCAAGTTTCAGCTGGGAACCGTGGCGGTGTGAGCCACGCACAGACTTGAACCACCAGTCCAGCAGCTCCTGGATCACTCACTCACTCAACACAGGGCACGTGGGGGCAAATCTTGCATTTCTATTGGATGTTTGCTAGCATATATGAAAATTTAGCAATCATGAATTGTAGATTTTGCTGAAAACTTACATGAGACAGATACCAAGAACTTTATTTTATCTCTCAGTTCTTCCTGTAATTAAGGGCATTTTGGGCAATTTCTTTGTGCATTTAAAGTTTCCCTACCTAAAAAGTGGGGAAAGACATTCACTTAAAAAATGTCTACTTAGCCTTTACTATGGCAGTGTTATAGGTGCTATGTATAAAGAGATGAAGAAAAGAGAAAAATTTCCTGCCATCATGGAACTTACATTTTAACGGGGATTGTCAGGGATGCAGCAGTAGAGGGGTGGAAGGAAAGATGCAAGTAAAATAAATACAGAATCAATTATATAAATAAGTGGAAATTATAAATCAATTATATAAATAAAGTGGAAAAGGGAGATTGGGAGTACTGGAGTTTGTGATTTTTAACGGGTCATCCAGGAAAAGGACAATAGTACTTAATTATCTCAGGGACAATCAGATGTGAAGATTAAATGTGGTAATGAACATAAAATGCTTTGAAAAATGCCTAACACGCACACACACACACACACACACACACACCCGCGGATGTTAATTTGTATTGGCCTGTGTGTGTGTGTTTGTGTGTGTGTGTGTGCTGAAGATGAAGCTCACTGTGAGGACCCTCGGTTCAATCCCTGGTACTACATAACACAATAAAACAAAACAAAACCTGGAGAAAACAACTGGTTGGAGAGGTTAAGTAACCTGCCCAAGTACACACAGACCACTAACTGGCAAGCCCAAGATCTAATCTCAACTTTGTGAGTTGTCCTCCTCTGAGGTTCATTCCTTTTTTTATAGTATATAATCATAAATAAGAAAGGAATTTTTTACTTAAAGGGTATGTACTTCACAATAGTTGTAAATACAAAAGTTAAATATATGTGGCATATCAAGAAGGAATTAAAGTCTAAGTCAAAGCAGGTTTAGAGATAAATGTACTCGACTCTGGAATGGTTTTGTTTTTATTACATTTATTATATTTTTATTATATTTATCATAGATTTTTAGACATTTTCACTAACTTCTATGTTTATCAAAGTTTGCTGCATGGCTATTTTAAAAAATTTTTTATTTTATTTTATTAGCACGTTTGCAATTCATGCAGTTTACAGTCATCTTGGAGAGTGGTTATATATACATAGTACAGGTTTTTTTTATAGTCTCTTTTTCCCTCCCCTATTCCTCTTCCTACTCTGGCTCTCTTATCATCTTTTACATACTTGTTGATACTATTTATCTTAGTTCATGTTATGGCACATAAAGTTTACATTGACTGGAGTTACTAGGATCCTGTACTTGATGTATCTTTATTTTTCTCATTTGTCCTTTTCCTCTTTCTCACTCTTCACTCTTGTTCCCTCAGACCACTTCTCTACTGGACTAGATGTATCCCTTTGTCCCTTTCTATTCATCCTTTATCACTTTATTTGTACTTTGCCTCACTGAAATGAGAGATACCATATGGCATTTAAGCTTGTGTGTTTGGTTTATTTCATTTAACATTATATTTCCAAGTGCATACATTTTCCTACAAATACATCAAATCTGTTATTCTTTATAGCAGAGTCATATTCCATTATATACACATACCACATTTTCTTTATCCAGTCATCAGTTGATGGGTATACAGCCTACTTCCAGGATGTAGCTATTGTGAATTGTGCTGCTGTAAACATCAGTATGCATGTAGCACTGTAGTATGACGACTTAAGCTCTTTGGAGAGGATACCTAGCAGAGGAATAGCTAGGTCATATGGAATTTCCAATTTCAATTCTTTGAGAAATCTCAAACCAATTTCCATAATGGTTGTACTAGTTTTCATTCCCACTAACAATGAAAGAGGGCTCCTTTTCCACCACAGCCATGCCACTGTTTGTTACTGCTTGATTTCTTGATGATTGCCATTCTTTCTAGAGAAGGTGGAATCTTAGTGTTGTTTTACTTTGCATTTCTCTAATGCCCAGAGACAGTCAACACTTTTTCATGTATTTCTTGACCATTTGTATTTCTTCCTCTGTGAAGTTCATTTATCATGCCCATTTCTAGGCTGGATCTTTAATTGTAGGTGGTTTAACTTTTTTTGAGTTCTTTGTATGCTCTCAAAATTAGTCCTTTGTCTGAGGAGTAGCTGGCAAAATTTTTTTCCCATTCTATAGGTTTTTCTCTTCACTGTAATGATTGATTCTTGTGCTTACAGAAGCTATTTAGTCTGATATAATCCCATTTGGTGATTCTTGCTGCCATTTCTTGTGCAGTTGAGGTTCTGTTTACAAAATCCTTTCCTACATCTATCTTCAAGTGTTTTACCCATTTTATCTTCCAGAAGGTTTAATGTTTCTGTTTTAATGTTGAGATCTTTGATCTATTTTTATTTTAATTGAGTATGTGGTGAAAGATAAGGGCCCAATTTCATTCTTATATGAACAGATAACCAATTTTATCAACACCACTTGTTGAATAAACTAGTTTTCCTCCAACATATGTTTCTGGACCTTTGTCACAAGATCAAACAGTTGAATATGTTTGGAGAGGTTTCTGTGTCCTCAGTTCTGTTCCACTGATCTATGTGTCTGCTTTTCTTCCAATACCATGCCATTTTCATCACTATTGCTTTGTAGGATATCTGAAGTTAGATATTGCTGTGCCACTTTCTTTGCTCTTATTGCTCAAAATTGCTTTTGCTATTCAGGATCTCTTCTGATTCCATATGGATTTTGGGATTGTTTTCTCTAGCTCTTTAAAATATGCTATTGGTATTTTGATTGAGACTGCATTGAGTTGGTGTAAAAGTTTTGGAAATATGGCTATTTTGGCAATATCCAGGAACAAGGGACTTCTTTCCATTTTCTGATATCCTCTTCAATCTTCTTCTTCAGAGTACTATAGCTTTTTTTTTTTTGTAGAAATTTTTCACTTCCTTGTTTAGGTTAATTCCTAGATATTTTATTTTTCTTGATGTGACCATCAATGGTACTGTTTTTATAATTTCCTTGTCATCCTACTTATTGTTGGTATACATAAATGCTAATGATTTTTGTGTGCTGATCTTATATCCTGCTACTTTGCTGAAATTGGTTATTAATTCTAAAAGTCTTTTGGTAGAGTTGTTTGGATCACTTCTCTGTAGAGTGCCATGTCATCTACAAATAATGACATTTGAGTTCGTCCTTTCTTATATGTGTCCTCTTTATTTCTTTCTCTTGCCTAATTGCTCTGGCTAATGTTTCAAGTACTATGTTGACTAGCAGAGGTGGTAGTGGACATCCTTATCTTGTTCCTGATTTTAGGGAAATACTCTTAGTTTTTTCCTTTTTAGTATGATGATGGCTATAGGTTTGTCATTAGTAGCCTTTATCGTATTCAGGTACGGTACTTCTATGCCTGTTTTCTTCAGGGCTTTTATCATGAAGTAGTGTTCGATTTTGTCAAAAGATTTTTCTGTATCTATTGATATAACCATGTGGTTTTTGACCTTGTTCCTCTTTACGTGACATATTACACTTATAGACTTATGTGTTGAACTATCCTTGCATCTGTGGGATGAAACCTACTTGATCATGATGTATGATGTTTGTGATAATGTGCTGCATTCTGTTTGCTAATATTTTATTGAACATTTTCTGCATGGCTGTCTTAATGCTATATTTTATTTTGTTGTATTTTTAAGTCTCTTATTTGAATCAAAGGATTATATCATCCCTTACCCAAAATGAGAACTTCAATGAGAATTCTTTCTCAAGGTCATACGAGGCAATTTTCTTTCTCTAACAGATTTGTCAAACTTCAAAAGGACAAATAAACTCCATAAAAAATTGTTATAGCTGATCTTAAAAAAAGAGGGAGGAGGCATCTTTTTAAAACAACAAAAATAAAGCAAAACCACTCAGGATACTCAATAACTAAATGAAAATTTTACCTGAATCAAGTGGACATGGACTATAAAGTCTATAAATGATTATAAAGAATTTCACTTTCAAAAATCTGAAAAGAGTATAATGCTATTGTTTTTACACATGGATTTAAAAGAAATGCAAAGGGTCATAAGACATGTTGTTAGAGGACCTTACCAAATTTTCTGAGGAAAGATACAACTTCATTGTTTCATCAGTTTGGGGGAGCCCCTGGCTAGAACAAACAAAATGTTTCTTCATAACACCTATATAAAACAAAAAATATATGAATGTTTTAGGTTGCAGATAGAAGAATTTCCATCAAAAGTACCATATTTTTCAAACTGATGAAAACTGTTTTTGAAAAACAATAATATATTTTATATTGTTGTTATATATTTTAATTACATTTTACTGTTGAGATCAAAATCTTTTTTTGGTTTTGTAAAGATATGATATCAGGACATTATAAAGGAAGGTCAAGCTGAATTTCTAAGATTAAAATATACCATATGTTAAACCATGATGCAAATATACATACATATATAGAAATATATATGCTAATCCTAGATTGAGCACAAGGCCTTAACACTGAGATATATGCTAGTCCTTTATATTGAGACAGAGTTCCTGGGAACAAAATATTTAAAGACAGAAAAAAAAAACCAGATCAAGCTCAGCCTGGGTAATTGAGTCACTTAGTTAGATCCTGTCTCAAAATTAAAAAAAAAGGGGGGGGGCTGGGGACATAGTTCAGTGTGAAGGCCCTGGGTTCCATCCCCAGTGACACACACACACACACAAACACACACAAACACACACACACACACACAATCACCCCAAAACAAACAACAACAAAATAGTTCTTGACTCTTTAATTCCTCATCCTTAGTAAGAGTATAAAAGAATCAATTGGAGATTGGGGAGAGAATTGTATTCAGAGAGAGCTACTGATATAAGATGCTAGGAAGAGGATCCGTTCTGCTTACATTGAGTCTGAGTACAGATTTTATGAGTAAAGTGAAAAAAATGTAACATGTATTTCTGCAATTTGGGACACTAAATCAGACTCCTGTTTAGGAAAAGACCAGACATGATTTAGTGGAGAGGACAGGAAATGCTTTGATGAGAGAGAGATGGTTCCATGGGTGTCCTGGCCAATCACAACTTGCTGGTGCAAAAAGATACATGAAACCTGGGCATAGTGGCACACACTGATAATCCCAGAAGTCAGGAGGCTGGGACAGAAGGATTTCCTTGAGGCTGAGGCCAACCTGGACTACACAGTGAGGTCAAGGCTAGCCTTAACTGCATAGTGAGACCCTATCTCAAAAAAACAAAACACAAAACAAAACAAAACAAACAGAAAGTGATACACAAATGTTTCTTGCATGCCACTAGTGGGAAAGAACTAGTTCAGGGTAATCCAGTGGTCTGTTCTCAGTGGTTTCTCTGAGTGGCAACTAAATCTCAGCAGAAAGAATTTGAAGGCATAGCTGGATTTTTAAAGGAACTAATAAAGGAATAAATAATCAGTGGGAATAGAGAACCTTCTGCCTTTGTTGGATGAACTATAGATAAGATTTAATTCCAAATAATATAGTTGAGGGAAGAGGGCTATGAAAGATCCATTCAAGCATCTAGTTCTCCAGGATGTCAGATGTCCAGCTGTCAGATAATCACCTCAGAATTGGTTAGGTAAGAACTGTGCCACTCTCACTACTTCTCTGTCCCCACCCCACAACGCTGGAACAGGGAGGGTCACAGCGTAAAGTTATTGTGATAGTGAGCAAGAACCTAAACACTAAGTGGAGAAAAGGAAAAGCGGACAGTCTTTGCGTCAGCACAGACCCAAACAGGAAAAAGAGAAGAAACTTCAACTATAAAATGAAAGTTACTTTTTGACTATTCCATGGACTTAATATTTTAATTTTAACAATTACAATTCAAAGCTGCATTTTGAAATTTTAAGTGCTTGGAATATGGTTTGAAGTGTAACAAAAAAAAAATCTTGGGGCTGGCCTAAATATTCAACAGAGGACGTAGGAAGAAGCAAGTGAAGGACTGGACTTAAATAGAAGGTAGGACCACGTGTGCTGACACACGCCTATAACTCTAGCAGCTGAGTCTCAAGTTTGGGGTCAGCATGAGCTAATCAGCAAGTTGGAGGTAACCCTGGATTACATAGGAGACCTGGTCTCAAAACAGTGAAGAATAAATGAATAGGAGATAAAAATAAATTTCTTTATAATTGCATATTGTTCATTCATCCTGCTGATATGACATTATGATTTCAATGCTGTTCTTAAAATTCTATACCTAAATATATTTGTGCAAGTATCATAAATGTGACTTAAACGATATTTGGGAGTTATAATGTTAACAGGTTTTAAACATTTTCATCTCACACATTCATTTTGACTGTCCTTGACAGTGTCACTAGACTTATTTTTTAAAACTATAATTAATTCTATAGTCCAAGTCACTCCTATGTTTAAAAATCTTCACTGGTGAAGTATTATTCAGCTATAAAGAAAGATAAACTTGAGACTTTTATAATTAAATGGATGCAACCAGAAACCCTACTCATAAGGAAAATAAATCAGACCCACATGTGTAAACATCATATTGTCTCCCTAGTGTATGAAACTGAAAGAGTAAATGAAATCTGAAAGGTACAATAGACATTATGGAAGGGAAAGAAACTGCTCAAAAGGAAAGAACAACTAGGATGAGAGAAAGGAGAAAAGAAAGAAAAAAGGGGAAATATATATATATATATATATATATATATATCTAAGATAATTGTACTACTAATTTCTGTTGGTTTATTGAAAGGAACAGTTAATGCTTAATTTTTTTGATCAATGTTGAGTGCCTATATCTGGTAATCTGAATTGCTACTTTGAAGATAACAATATGCAATATAGCAACCATTGTTGATTTCCTATCACCTTGTTTTGAAATTCTGTATTGTTTTAAATGTTTCTTTAAATTTCTTATTCTCTTTAATGTAATCGTTTTTTTTTTTTTTTTGGTACCAGGAATCAAACTCAGGACCTTGCACTTGCCAGGCAGGCACTGTGCCACTGAACTATATCCCTAGCCCTTTATTCTCTTTAAAATTAAAAAAAAAAAAATCTTCACTGTTACCTCATATCTGATGAGTAAAGTCAACAAGCAGAAGGAAACGAATTCCTTTGAATAACACACACTGAGCCAGCTACTGGGTTTACCTGTCACGTTATGACATTCCCATGATACTTTGTGCTCTCTGTACCACTATCTCCCTTTTAAGGAAGAGGAAACCAAGAGTCAGGGTGCTCAAAGGTCGCATATGGCAAGTCACAACAGCAAGTCGGATTGGAAGCAACAGTCTTTTCTCTAATGGTCTTTTTTTTTCTTTTGCCAGACAATCTTTCAACAGTGAAGCTCCTTTTCCAAACTATCCTGTACAAAATCTACACTCCAGTCCCTCTAAAATGCTCATGAAGTTCTCTCTACTGCCATTCTCTGCCTCAACTTTTAACTCATTTTAAGATATAATTCAAATCGAAGCTTTTTATAACAATGGTCTGAGTGAAACTAATTGGTCCCGCCCAATTTAGTAACATTTTATGAATTATCTCTTCATATCAGCAAGCCCCTTTGAGCTTGGGTGTTAAAAAAAGAAGCAGGAAAAAATCATAAGAGCTATTGAGGCAAGAGGTAGAAGGAATTCCCAATTTTTGTACTTTTAGATATATGGATCCCTTTGCTTAGAAATTCTCAGATTATAGAGTTCACTAGACTCTGTTTTAAACAATGAGATGAAAAAAATTCACGAGCCTCTAAGGAAAGATGTGCCAGAGAAGTTACATTTTTAAAGGTTTGACTACTTTAACATAAATCATGCTATAAAGGGAAAACATACAAGTATAACTGCTGAGGGAATGTCTGCTCTGAAAGAGTAAGAAAACTACTCTGAGCCAACTACACAGAAACAGAGCTATTTTTAAAACTCACTTTATTATTCATGGTTAAGCAATTATAGCAATGAAGTTGAAGCTAGAAGAAGAAAAATGCCGCCCATCTTTCTCCATCAATCCATTTTACATAATGAATGCTGTTGTAGGGAATTGGAATATGCAACTCCTTAAATAAGCCTCTTTGGCTTATCAATTGTTTGAAGGTGACAGCAACTGAGAAACAGCAGGTACAGGGATGGGAGAGTCCTGCTATCTACTACCTAAGAGCAGAACCTAAATTTCCTACAGGAAATATGCCCTACCTGTATGTTTCCTATCACCAGAGTTGAAGAGCTGACACAGAGATGAGTCTGTACAAACACACTTACTAAAATAACCCTTATTTCCTATTAATTTCATAAATATATGAAAATTCATGAGAAAATTCATATATGGTGAATTATGAGTTCATATATGAATTTTCATATGTGAGAATTTATATATATGTGAAAATTATATATATAATTTTCTGGTAAGTTTCCCATTAAAACCCCAATCCAAACTTTTTTTGGTGCTAGCTCCACAACTTACTGCTTTGTTAAGATGGTGTGTAAACTCCACATCTAATAACTTCTTTAGGTATTTCATTTCTTTCTATGAAGCCCACCATGCTATGTGAAACTATTAATCATGTTTTTCCCCTATTTATCTGTCTATTCTTCAGTTTATAGACACAGGATCTAACAGAGTAGAGGAAATTCTTTCCTCCCTGAGCCTGCCATATTAATGTAAACTATAGTTACATTTGTGTCTAGCTGTCCCCTAAAGCCTCATGTGGTAATAGGGCTTTTTCAGAGGTGGCTGAATCTAGAGTGTGTGATGCTGGGATTAAGGGTGTGTGACTACTAAATCAGTCCCCTGATTGGTTTGGCACTGCACTAATCCCAGCAGTCTGGATAAGATAAAAAGGGCAGAAAGAAGCTGTTAAATTCTCTTGTTGCTTTTGCTGTCTTCTGTTGCCATGAATGGTTGTCCCTCTACCATGTGTCACCCTGCCTTGGAGCCAGCTGATTATGGTCTAAAATATCTGCAAGTTGTGAGCTAAATAAACCTTTCCCCCTTAACTTTGGGTGTTGAGTATTTTGTCTCAGCAATGAGAAAAGTAACTAAGAAATATGGTATGTTACTCTCCTACACAGTAATCTTAAATAACTTCCTAACATTGACAGATTAAAGCTCAGACTCCTTAGACTGACATCTAAGGAACATCAGATTCCTATATAATATGCACCAGCTTCCCATATTTCCAGAATATTTTACTTGTATCCTTTCATTCTTGTCAAACTGAACTATTTACTGATGTGTTCACATAGTCTGTGATTTCCTACCTCCATAATGCTCGCCATGCACCTTGATGTGGTCTTTTTTTTTTTTTTTTTTTTTTTAAAGGAGAAAAAGTTTATTTCAGCTCACAGATTGTACAGGTTTCAGTCCATAGTCAATTGGTTCCAAGGCAGGATGGCAAGGCAGAGGGGCATCACAGAGAGAAATAGTTCATGGGGTGTCAGGGAAGGCAGAAGGCAGCAAAGCAGCAAAATAGCAAGCGACAAGTGAGAAATAGCAACCCTCTTTCTGTCTTTTACATCCTACCCAGGGTACCTACCCTTAGAGTACATGGCACTCACACCCAGGGTGGGGCACCTTTAATCCTAGCATTGCACATGAATCAATCCCAGTACAACATCTTTGATCCCAGCATCACACACCTGTAGATCCAGCCACTTCTAAAAGCCCTACTTATGACCTAATGTTGTCTTGTAGTACACTCTTCTCCGTATGTGCATATGCAGATATTACCGGTTTCGGGACCCAATGGCTTGTTTTCTTTTGTTGGAAGTCTTCCTTGACAACCCCCTTCCCCACAGCTGGAAGGAACCACTCCCTTCTCTGAAATCTCTGAAGTATGTGACTCTCCCATCTTGGAATAGATCCACCTATGTGTCATATATTCTTTAGAAGAATGTAGGAACTAAAGCCAGGGTCATCCCAGAATTCATGTAATTTAGCATCACATCTGTGAACAGAACATGTCTGAATCCTTCTATCCATCGGTCCAGTCAATACTACTATGTTCCAGGCCTCAGTCCAGGATGCTGCAGAATCGAAAAAATATGTACAAATGGGCGTGGATTTGTCTTGCTTTTTTATCATGTTTTTCTGCCATAAAAGTCCTATTGACTAATTCAGTCTGTATATTGCTTTCAGGAAACTCTCAACTTCAATCTACTAACCTGATAATTCAGTTTACAATTCATACTACCTAAAACCATTCATGGATGAAAGAATTTTAAAATGTCTGTCTTTAAATAATTCAAGTTTTGCAAATATAAAATCCTCTTTAAATGTTAAATTCTCTCTGTCTTTTAAGTGATAAAATACTTCAGCAAGAGGAAAATATTTTGTCTTTTGTATACACAACTTAGTAACAATGATGTTTTTAGAAACTTGTAGACAAGATACGGTAAAGAAGAAATACTAAAGGGAAAACATTTTAACTATAAATGAAGAAGGGATACAGATGAGAACTCCTGAGTAGGAAACAGAGAATAATAGTCAGATGCTTCCTGAGAAACCACTCTGAAGATATCAATATGTAATACAAAAAGCACTGTTAATTTCCTACCACTTTGTAACTCTGTATTGTTTGTATTGTTCTTTTGCTATTTTGTAAATGGTTGTCTGTTTGTTAATGTTTTCCTTCTTTTATTTTTAAAATAAAAAAAAATGCTTACCTTTATTATCTCCTATTCCTGATGAAAATTCCATGTTCAAAAATAAAATTATAACATATATAAGTGGTGATACCATCTGTTGGAATAAAGAATTATTTCTTTTTAATTACTCTGAATATATTTTTGATATAAACAATTATGAAACTGTAAAGACACAAAAAAGTATTACAAATACTTTCCACTACATAACAAAAGTAGACAATAGGCTATAGATTTAGCTCTGTAGTAGAGCGCTTGTTGAGCATGTGCAAAGCCCTGGGCTTAATTCCCAGGACTGAAAAGGAAAAAAAAGCGGACAACACAAGAGTTAAATTTATTCACTAATTAGTATTAAGGATATTTGTAAATGTAATTATGGAAAATTAGAGAAAGAGATATGGCTCAGGTTTTTGTTCAATGTAGATAACTATGGGAGAGGTAAGAATAATTGTATAAGCTACATAAAGGAGAACCTGAATTGATAAAGACTTTAACAATGATACAGTTACTACTTAATTTAATATTTTGTTTACATTGCCTTTGGGAAAGACAGTCCGCACTACTGGACATCCTTGCTGAGTATACTAAGGATACTTCTTGTTCAGGCCTTTTCTTAGAGTTGTGTTTGTAGCAAACAGTCTTGAGGAATGAGATAAAGCAGAAACAGCCTAGAAAATATCAGGTTGTTTCCATGGTGAATCTGCTAATGTCAGTGTTCCTCTCCTGTAACGGATCTCACTATGCATGTAAGTATATATTGTAGGCTGACCTATTTGCCCACCCCCCAAGTTCATATGTTGAAATCCCTAAGTCCTACTATCTCAATATGATCCTATTTGGAGATAGGGTCTTTAAAAAGATGACTAAGTTAAAATGCAGTCATTAGGGAGGGCTGTAATCCCAAAGGGCTAGAGTCTTTATAAGAAGAAATTTGAACATAAAGTCACACAAAGAAAAGACAGAGTAAAGACACAGGGAGAAAATGGCTATCAACAGGCCAAAGAAAGAGGCATGGAAAAGATCTTTCCTTCATAACCCTTAGAAGAAACCAACCATGCCAACACTGGGATCTCAGACTGTTAGCCCACAAAAGTGTGAAAAAATAAATTTTTGTTGTTTAAATTGCCCAGTGTATGATACTTTGTTTTTTATGGTAGTCCTAGCAAACTAATATATCATCTGTGATAGATCTCACTTCTATGGGAGTTGGGGGTGGGGTGGGGACTGGTGTGAGCTTTATGCCGATACTCTGGCTACTGCTTTTGCAATAAGGAAGCCTTTGTCACTGACCTTAGAGTCTTGTATCTTTTGCTAGCATCTGAGAAAGCAGGTATAGACTTTCCAGCCATAAGTAGGGTGAAATCTCAGACTCTGTGCAGTTCTTGATAATTGCTGAATAAATTAAACAACTGGTGTTTGTTTTCCCTCCCTCAAAATTGGCTCTCCTGATTAAATATATTTAATTGATGATAGAACGCTCAAACATTTGTTAGATTTTTAAACTGATCATCCATATCACATTGTCAAGAATGAATTTCTTTTTCATCACATTTTTCAGTCATCTGAGAAAGTAACTTGCTATCACAAGGTAAAAAGAAACGGGAATTGGAGAAGAAGGGAGAGAGGGGAGGGAAGTGGAAGAGGATTAAAAAAAAAAAAGAAACAAGATGTGGTCTGTACATGTAAGCACTCCCCAAGATGATTGTAAACTGCATGAACTGCAAACATGTACTAATAAAATTAAACAAAAACACAACGTAAGAAGAAACAAACAGCATATTAAAGCAATAGCATCATGGTGCTATGATCAATTATTTCTGGTGTAAAAACTAACTGGACATTAAATGGAGGAGTTAGCACAGTTAAACTTTACAAATAGTGCCCTTACCAGAAAATTTTGTATATTTCCCTAAACATTCAAATTAAATAACAAAACATCACCTTTGGAATCTGTCACTTTTTCTTGTCCCATTGACCAAAGTGCATTATGCTCCAGATCTCCAGTTTGGATGAACTATTATTAACTTATAAGAGTTGATCCAAATTTGCTTTCTCAAATAAATACATATAATTTCTTTTGATTGGATTTGGTTGCATTTACCTTTGGTCAAGTGACTTCAAAGAGTACTTTGAAAGAATTTTAACGTTCATGAAGGAAAAGAAAACTGAGAGTTAATTTAAGCTAGTGACAGAGATGGACTTAGAACCAAGGGCTCTGGACTTAATAAATCTAGTCAGCATACAAAGATGCCACAAAATAAAAAGATTAAAGACTAAAAATATGAGGTGTATGATTATATTTGACATATCACTAAACCACAATATTTGTCCACCATTATTCTGCTCCACACAAATATTAATTTCACTCTTCTGATTTTCTTCAACATTATAGCTTTTCCCAGTTTGGCACTACCTCTATCCACAGTCATCTGACTGTTAGAGAAAAGGCAGATCTTAGCCTTGGGTAAGTTCTATCTATTGAACTATTTAATCTTTAGTAAGTTGCTTCTGTGAGTTCACTTTCTCTTTAGTAAAGTGGGTATAATACTATTCCACAGTGTTGTAAGAATTAAATGAAAAAGACAAATTAATGAATAATATCTGACCGTTACTTTATATAAAATAATTACTTGATAGTACCTCTGAATTCATATCTTTAACATTGCAGCAACTTCTTTATCTTCACCACATTCCTTACACTTAGCAGTTAGACAATGTCAGCTATCATTCCCATTTAATTATTATGGGTTTTATATAATTGTCTTCTGCAAGTCATACATCTGAGTATTTTTCCTTCTCTGGCACCAAATGGACATTAGAAAATGTCCCACAAAAGGGACCTACCTCTTTTTTCATCTGATTCATTTGTAGCTATTCTAATACGATAGGATAGTGTTTATACTGCAAATTCATGTTATATAAGGCTGTTCTTATCTTTTTTTGTTTGTTCCTGCTAGAGAAGTTGATAAAGCTTTGGCTGGAAGCAAGCTGTAAATTTAATTGGCTGTGGCAACACCGTGACTAAGCTGCCTCCCCAGACTGTGTCAGAACAGAAATGTCTGAACAAGGCTGACATCCCTATAGAAAATTATGCAGTAGGCGAAACTGGCCTTCTTTTTCCCCAGAACCCTTTCATTTATTTTCCCTGTCTTATTTGTCCTGACATGATGTTACCTCATGTAAGGGTGAAAGATCTGCTTTCTGTCACTAGCTCATGAAGTACACTTGGATGTGAATGAGCACTAAGGGTATTCCTAGCAGGTCTATAACCATGGAGTGAAAGATGAATGATGTTCTCCCCACTGACAAATAGATCAGCCTCTGGCCATCTAGTCAGGAGGTTTGGGAGCAAAGAATGGGGTGGGAATGAAAGAAAAATAATTTTGACATTTTTAAAAATATAATTTTGTCTTTTAAAAATTTGAAAAATACAAACAGGCATAGGAAAGTTAATCATGCATAAATCAAGAACCACGTAAAATCAGTGACAACGTGTTGGCATTTCATGAGCCTGTTCCCTTTGATTTATATATTGTATGTAAAATTCTTCTACAGTATGTGTAGTTTCACATCACTCTTTTAGTCATTGTCATTATGGCCGCTTTCTCATGTAACTAAAGTGTGTTTTCAAAAATTTTCACAGTTATATATCTAAAATGATTATACAGTTTACTCAACAGAAGACTTTCTGCTATTTCCAAAGTTATTCACATTATAAATAATGTGATAGTAAATAATCCTGAACAAAAATATTTCCAGCTATTTAAAAGTATTTCTTTAGGATAAGAACATGTTTAAGACTCATGATACATATGAGAAAATTGCTTTCCAGAAATCCAGAATTGAAAATTAGATATAATCTGTAAAACTTTGTACCTAAAAAACGTCTCATTAGCTGGATACAGTGGCACAACCTTATAATCCTAGCACTCTGGGAGGCTGAGGCAGGAGGATCACAAGTTTGAGACTGGTCTGAGGGTATAGCTCAGGGGAAAGGCCCAAAATCATGAAACAGAGAAAACTAGGACACAGCACACCAACCTGAATTAACCATGTTAAAATAAGAATTCAATTCCTGATTTTATATATATATATATATATATATATATATATATATATATTAGGATACACACTAATATGAAAAAATTATAGCAAATATATAACCTAGTAATATAGTCATCTACTACCATTATCAAGTATTATATACTATACATAATTGTATGTGCTCTAACCTTATATGACTGGCAGCACAGTAGGTTTGTTTACGCCGCTGTTATGGGTTAGATCTAAAATGCTCCCTAAAGTTCTCATTTTCAGAGATGAGGCTTTTGGAGGGTGATTGGAATCAAGGGGTTGCTATACTTATCTAGCTAAATGTGCTGTTGGGGTGTGTGTGGCCTGGTCAGAGGAAGTGGATCACGGTATGGTGACCTGAAAGAGTATATTCTTATCCTTGGCTTCTCTCTCTCTGCTTCCTGGCTGCAACAGGGTGAGCAAGAGTCTTTCACTACATCCTTCCACCATGCTGTTTCTGTCTTGGAGCCAGCCAACTATGGACTGAACCCCACAGAAACTCTGAAGCAAATAAACATCTCCTCCTGTAAATTTGGATGTCAGAAATTTTGTCCCAGCGATGAAAAGTGACTAACGGAGTTACCGTCATTACACACATGTGAGTAATATGTTGTATTACATCATTATGACAACTGTGACATCACTAGGTCATAGGAGTTTTTCATCTCCATTATAATCTTACAGGACCACTATCATGTCTGTGGTTCGTTGTTGACCAAAATCTTATACAGCATCAGTCAGTATCCCGGGAGATTTTTAACCTATACATAACTCTTTACACTTTCCAGTAGTTTTTTTTCTCTCTTTCCTTGAAACTAGTTGAAGAAACAGTTAGTTTTAATGGGCTTCCCATAAACTTGGAAACATACAAAGCTCACCCCCAAATGGCCCACCTACTTAAACACAATTTTGCTGTGATAAGGGAACAGGATGCTTCTGAATTAAGAAACCTAGATCCACACTTAAATTTTGTCCTTTAACCCCCCCCAAAAAAGTTTGTCCAATAACCCCCCAAAAGTAAAATCAAAACCAAACCAGACAAAAAAATACATTTCAAAATGAATACATAATGGCAAATGATACCATACAATGCTATTGGACGATGGGAAATAGGAATCAAAATATGTCAGCGATAAAAATGTTCTTCTAACTGAAAAACACCATCCACAGTAAACCCCCAAAACCATGAAACAGAGAAAACTAGGACACAGCACACCAACCTGAATTAACCATGTTAAAATAAGAATTTGCCTAGACTACTAAAGTAAAAATAGCTCGGAATGAAAATAGAAAAACAGGAACATGTGAAATGAGCATTGACTAAGCTCAGGAAATGGAGGAAAGAGACAAAAGAATCTTACAAAGAAAGCTTACATTTCAAGATGCCCAAGGGAAAATACTTTGACTACAAACGCAATAAGGGTCATAGAGGAGAGGAATGAAAACCATTAAGAGAACAAAATGAAATAAAAAGACGACGGTATCAGATAAAAAGTAATAAATACAAACGAGCAAAGAAAATACATCTTCCTAGAGCAAACGGAAGATACAAAATGAGAAGACCAGCAGAATGACAACACAAAATGAAATAGAGCTCTTACCTGGTCACACCTTGTGAAATTTCAGAATAGAGATTCTTGGCAGGAACTAGGTGAGGCGTTAGTGGCGGGGGATTGTGCGCAGGGCGGACCCTGAGATAAGGTGGCCCGCGCGGTGCCAGCGGGTAGCGGACACTAGGCGGTAGGACACCAGGCAGTAGCGGGCGCCTGGCGAAGAGCGAGCGTGATAGCACGCATGCGCTGGTTTGGGGATGCTGCACACGTTGCTCTGCCTGAACCACGGGCTGTTCTCTGGGAAGCAATGTTTTCAGAGTTGAAAAGGAAAAATCAACTATTTTCTACCTAGAAGTCAGTAATGAACCAAGTAAGTATGAGAACAAAATAAAGATACTGTTACCCATATGAAGCATGATGAATGTGTGTTGTGTTTTGTCTGCTCAGCATCCCTTTCCCACTGTTTGCCAACCTCTTCTATATTATTATTATTAATTAATTTACTTATTTTTGAGACAGACTCTCACTAGGTAGTTCAGGCTGGCCTTGGGCTCATGATCAAGCCTGGGCTGGCCTCGAATTCTTAGTGATCCTCCTTCCTCAGCCTCCCCAATGCTGGGATTACAGGTGTGTGCCACCACTGCAGGCTTTATATTTTATTTATTTTATTTCATTTTATTTTTTATTTTATTTTATTTTTTTCTGGTACCAGGAATCGAACTCATGACCTTGCGCTTGCCAGGCAGTGCCACTGAGCTAAATCCCCAGCCCGTAGGCTTTATATTTTAGAGGAATTTCCAACCCCGTATATTCATGGTGGAACTTCTAACCGAAATTCTATGTGTTACTGTAGTCAAGAGGCAGGCATAGGATTCAAATTCAAACAAGGAGGATCTCCTTTCTGGACTGGGAATCAAGAACAGAGAAACAAAGACACATGATGGTGAGAGGCCACTCCTGAGGTAGCTTCCAAAAAAGATTCATAAGCACTTTTTGCAACCTTCTGTGGAGTGGCCTAATTTTTATTTTCTTTTAAAGCCTAGTTCATTAGTCTTTGCCCCTAACCTGTAATCATCCCATTATCCTTCAAATACATTTTCTTTTTAAAAATAAGACTCTGTTTCCATTGTATTATCTGATACAACTAGGACTCAGAAATTTATAGCCCCTGCATCATTTGTAAGAAGTTACTCAAAGCTGTACTCTAGCAAAATAAAAGACATGGGACTGAGACAGAACCAAAGAAAATAGTGAAAGGCAAGTCCCAGAATGACCAGAGGGCAGCAAAACTGAGAATAACTAGTCCAAATAGGTACAATATTGACAGAGGCTCCTGACCCAAAAAGTAGAAAGAAAGGAAGAGTTGCCATGCAGTATACTAAGTATAACCAAAAGACAGTAAAACTTAAAAATACAGTAAAATTTTGACAAAATTTTACTTTTAAGTGAAATAAAGTAGATACATATATGTAGATATCACATTGTTTCTCTGGTATGAGCAACTAAAAGTGTAAAGACGGACCAAAATGTATTATAGATATTGTGTAATAGGAAGAAAATGTTCAAATGGGAAGGGGAACTAGGCAGGGTGGAGGGGGAAAGGAAGGAATGGAAAACAAAAATGAGAAAAGGAGAAAAAAATGGAAATAAAGCTTTTGTAAATAAGGAGGGGAAGAAGGGTTGAAGGGAGGGTAAGGGAATGGGAAAAAAAGAAGAATCAAGAGATACCATGTACAGGTACAAATTCCCTATCATGAATGTGATTCTGTATAACTAAAATGTACCAATAAACTTAATCAATTAAATAAAAATAATAAAAATTCTCAACAAATTCGGTATAGAAGGAATGTCCTTCAACACAATAAATGCGATATGTAACAAACCAATAGCTAACATCATACTAGTAAAGAAAAGCTGAGAGTTTTTCTTCTATTATCAGGAACAAGACAAGGATGCTTATTCTTACCACTTCTATTCAACATTTACTAGACTCTCTACCTAGAGCAGTTAGGCAAAGAAAGAGACAAAAAGTATTTGAATCAGAAGGAGAAATCAAAATTATTTGTAGGTTACATGATCTTGTATGTAGGAAATACTAACTCCATCAAAAATCTTAATGAATTTAGTACAATCACATCTGGCAAAATCAATACATAAAAATCACTAGTGTTTCTATACTATAACAATGGACTATCCAAAGAAAAACTAAGGAAACCTTTCCATTTACAAGAGCATATATATGTATACATGAGATAGCTAAGATCACTGTACTACTAATTTCTATTGCTTTATTGAAAGGAACAGTTAATGTTTAATTGATCAGTCTTACATGCCTATATTTGTTTATCTGAGCAATCAAACTGAAGAAAACAATATGTAATATAATAACTGTTGTTAATTTCCTATCACCTTGTCTGAAATTCTGTATTGCTTTTATTGTATTTGTGTTGTTTTATTTATGTCTCTGTGTTAGTGTGCTTTCATTCTTTTATCTTTAAAATTAAAAAATGCTTAGGAGTACATTTAAACAAGGAGGTAAGAGATTCATATACTAAAAATTGCAAAATACTGATGAAAGGAATAGAAAAAGACAAATAAATGGAATGACATCTGATGTTTATAGATTGGAAGAACTAAGTTTTAAAATTTTGTTCAAATGTCCATTACCTAAAGTGGTGTATAGATGTAATGTAATCGTCATCAAAATTCCACTGATATTTTTCATAAAAATAGAAAACAATCTTAAAAAATATATATGGAGACAGAAATGACTCCAAAAAGCTAAAGCAACTTGAATAAAAAGAACAAAGCTGGAGGCATCACACTATTTGATTTCAACATATAGTGCAAAGCTATAATAGTGCTCAAAACAGCATGGTACTGGTATGAAAAACATGTTTGACCAGACGAATAGGATAGTGAGCCTAGAAACATTTATGTCAGTTTATTTTTGATAACAACACCAAGAACAAACAAAAGAGAAAAGACAGTCTCTTCAACGAATGTTGCAGAAAAAACTGGAGTGCCATATGCAGAAGAGTGAAATTAGATCCTTATCTGAAACATATACAAGTATAAACATTAACTCAAAATGGATTAAAGATTTAAACTTTAAATCTTTCTGCAACTGTAGAAAATAGGAAAATTTCTACAACATTGGTCCTGGAAAAGATTTCTTAGATACATCTCCAAAAGCATAGGCAATAGAAGCAAAATTAGACAGTTGGAGATTCCACCAAACTAAAAGACTTCTGCACAGCAGAGAAAATAGTTAACAGAGTGGAAGGGAGGAAATGTCAGCCCAACCAAAACTGATTTTGTTGAGACCTTGAGAGATTCCAAATAGAGAACCAGCTAATGTTTCTGGACTCCTCCTGACCCATGGAAAATGGTAGATAAAAAACTTTGTTGGCAGACATGGTGGTGCATGCGTGTAAGCCCAGCACTTGGGAGGCTGGGGCATGAGGATTGCCATGAGTTTGACGCCAACCTGGGCTACATAGTGAGTTCAAGACTAGCCGGAACTACATAGCAAACCCTGTCTCAAAAAAACAAAGCAAAATAAAACTTTGTTGTTTTAAGTGACTAGTTGTGAGGCAGTTTGTTATTCAGGAATGGGGAACTAGTGCAGATCACAGTGATTTATGGCACTGCATATTGAGACTGCTACCTGGCTCTTTGGCCTCTCATGCCTTTGAATCAACACATCAAAGAAGTGGGTTTCTATATTGGCTGTAGCGATTGGTCTGATAGCCAATGAGAAACTGGGTTGGCATTATACAATGAGGGTAGTCAGGAGTACGTGTGAGATATAGGAGTATCTCCTAGGAGCATAATTTAGTACCCCCTGATTGAAGTCAATGGAAAATGACAACTACTAGCAAATATTCTATCTTTGTGTTAGAGTATGGAGTATCCAGTTGTTTACTTTCATGGTTATGTGGTAGCTTCCCAGCAGTGTGAAAAAACTATCAAATGTATGTCATGAGCCTGGGAAAATAGCAAAATTCGAGACTCACAGCGTGGTTTCTGCTGAGTGTGTACAATTTTTGCACCACTATGCAGGTGAAAAATCTCAAATGATATCACCAAGTTAGATTGCCTGTTCACTCTCCTCTGTACTGGAAACAGTGTAAATTGGTGAAGAGCAAGGATTCCGTGGATAAATTTCCTAGATTCTTATTTAGTTCTCTTTCGTTTTGCTTTCTTTTTTTTTTTCTGGTACTGGGAATCGAACTCACAACCTCGTGCTAACCAGGCAAGCACTGTACTGCTGAGCTAAATCCCCAGCCCTACAGTGTTCTTTGTTAACTGTGCTATATTTAAAAGTTAGTTTTCCCAAGCTTCAGTTTCATCTGAACAATGTGTATAAAACTCCTTACCTTATATAGTACATATTTGTGTGTGTGTGTGCATGTGTGTATACAAACACATGTATACACCTTCTTTTACTTAAATGGTAACTTACTACACATTCTGTTATGTTCTATAGTTTTGAATCTAACAATACGTCTTGGAGATCTTTCTGTATCATTCCCCTTTCTCTTTAATGTCTGCCTATTTGTCAATTGTGTAGATATACTATAATATATAATACTAGTCACTCATTGGTACATATTTACATAGTTTTTAATCTTTTGCTATTATAAGGATTATATTTTTATCCATATATAATTCCACAGATGTGTAAATGTAAGTGTATGAGAAATTTCAAGGAATGAAATTGCTGGGTTAAAAGTAAAATGCTTTTAAAATTTTGATAAATGTCTAAATAATTTAAAGAGCAAGATAAAAGATAGTTGATAGGAAATAGGGAGTTCGACTGTGGAAATGGGAAGGGGATCTGGTGACTGGGGGAGATGAGAGGGTGCGGGGGGGATGGAGAAGTAAAACTGATTAAAATGTTGTATGCATAGTTACCAGTTCCCCAAGAGAAATGTAATTGTTGTGTATCACAAACATATGCTAATACAGAAAACCCTAAGAACCTTTCAAAACAATAAAAAAGAAAACAGAACTGAAAAAGCATTCTTGCTAATATCAAATTGCCTTTCATTGCTGTTATACAAATATACATTCCACAATCAATATGTGAATTGCCAATTTCCCCCTAGCCTTACAAACCAAGTGCTGTCATATTTTGAACATTGTTATGACACTTTTAAATTTGTATACTTCCTTTCTTCTGAACTATTTATCTTTTTTTGAGATGATTTCATTGTGTTCCTTATGTTGCCTAGGTGGGCCTTGAACTCATGGTTTCCCTGACTCAGCCTCTTGAGTAGCTGGGGTTACCC